TATAAATGCACTGTATACTGTGTGAAACCTGTCTATTGGGACCCAATAATACCATAGATTTCCTGTACTCTAATATCTATGATAATACCCTCCTGACTATGAACCTGTCCTTATTTCAGAGGTTCATTAATACACATTTATATTGTATTGGGACTGATACTACCTGTCCTGATTATAGAGGTGTCCTTATTTTATAGTGTCCACAATAGCAGGTTTGACTGTTTGTATTCATATTAATTACCAGCACAACTTTCCTACTACAATCATCTATCCTTAATAGGACTGGATTCTGGAGAGATGTACCTCCTAAAAGTCTTGATGGTAGAATAGGACAATTCAAAGGAGGAGCATTAAAATTAACATCAAAAGACATCAAATCATTTAAATAAAATTACTATGATCACTATTAATTTTTGTTGTTGATATACTCTTGCTGTTGTCACAATGAATGGTAAGAGACTATTTAAATTATGAATACAATGTATACTTTTGGGAATATCATCATAACACGTTGGGGTTGCATGAATATAAGCCTGCTAGCCTAGTGCTCCTTTAAAATTTCTTTTGTATTGAGTCTATTGACTTGTTGTCAAAAACACTCAACTGGAAGTAAACCAATTTGTATTTAAGTTAATCTCTGCAATGATAGATTGTTTATACTGTAATATTTTACGTTTAGCTGAAGTTAAAAGCAAATCAAAAAACATGTATGATGATCAATCATGTACTGTAAACTAAACCAAACTACTGTTCTTAAAAAGTAAAATACCTTTTACTCTTATTGTTTGAGTCAAAAGTTATTGTCAATTTGTGGCAGTGGCTCCATTAAGATAACAAAACCTCTTCCAATAGCACTTGGATCATCTAAGGTAGATTTGTTCACAGCATAGGTATTGCTCACAAGTGGGCTTAAGATCTCATTCACCCAGCGTACTGCTAGTCCAGCAGCTCCTATTGACTGCAATGTAGCTACTACACCACCTGCTGCTGTTGGAGCCATTCCTGACATCACAGAGGCACCAACAGGACCAGCAACTATACCACCAGCACCGAACCCTAAGGCACCAGCTACTAATGGAGCTGCTACCGCTGCTGCTGCTCCTCCAACAGCGGCACGTCCAATGACGCTATAAAACAGGTCATCATTACCAGGTTTACATTTCCCATCACGACAGTCAGTTCTTGCCTGCACTGACAGTATTAGACAAGACAGAAATAAAGCACAGCATTTCTTTGAGAACAACATAGTTGAGCCAAGTCTGAGTGCATGGGGAAGTTCCCTTTGCAATTTTAGCTGAGACAATAGCCAGCCCCTCCCATTTAAGGAGGGGTAATACTTTCAAACTGCCACTTCAGCAGTCATTCATTCCCCAGGGACATTCCCTAATTATTATATTTTTGTCGTAGTGTACAACGCCCCCGCTGTTAATTAATGTAACAATGTATTCAAAAGTTGAGCATTAAAAAGATATTATTTTAACAAATTTGATACAGTACAAATATCAATCAAAGTATCAGATATCAATATAATATACAAAATATTAATCGGCAAAATCAAGGTGATACAGTACAGCTGATAGCTTAAGTTTTCCATTGAACCCATTAGTCTACTTTTATAAAAATCTTTTGACCTAAAAATATTATGAAGGCAGCAAAATGACAAAAGTTAACAACTCGACCAGTGCTAAATCAACTGACAAAAATTTAATTGTCATCATGATCATCTGTTACTGCAGCTCCAATAGCAGCTCCTACTACTGCTCCAGCAGCTCCAATACCAACTTTGGCTCCAGCAGAGAGTCCAAGCACTCCAACGGACTGCAATGTAGCTACTACACCACCTCCTGCTGTTGGAGCCATTGCTGACATCATAGAGGCACCAACAGAACCAGCAGCTATTCCACCAGCATTGAACCCTAACGCACTGACTACAAAAGGAGCTGCTACCACAGCTGCGGTTCCTCCAACAACAGCACCTCCAATGATGCTATAAAACAAGTCATCATCACCAGGTTTACATTTCTCATCGCGACAGTCAGTTTTTGCCTGCACTGACAGTATTAGACAAGACAGAAATAAAGCACAGCATTTCTTTGAGAACAACATAATTAAGCCAAGTCTGAGTGGGGAAGTTCCCTTTGCAATTTTAGCTGAGCTAAGCCTATGAGCTGAGCTTTATCATAGATATTAGAGTAGC